CCATCATCATCACAGTGCAGGCACACACGCACGCACACACACACACACGTACAAGTGGCACGTAGAGACAAACAGACAAACAAACAAAAAAAAAACAGACATCTCGGGCGCAACCCGTTCGTATGCGACTGCAGCATGAAGTGGCTCTTCCTCTACCTTCACCTCCACCCCATCGAGACCAGCAGGGCCAAGTGTTTCGGCCCCAAGAACATGAGGAAGAAAGTGATCTCCAAGATTAACAAGGATCACCTACACTGCCCAGGTTGTGGTGATGATGATGATGATGGTGGTGTTGATGATGATGACTATGAGGACAACGGAGACGTCATTAAAGCGATGCATGGAAGGAAGGTGGAGATGGAGAGTTATTGGCCATCTGACTTCTTGTGTGCACAAAAATTATTTCATATGAAATATTTTTCTTTTTAAAACGTGTATCTGTGCATGCGTGTGTGTGTGCGTGAGTGTGTGAGTGTGTTTGTATGCGTGTTGCGGTGTGTATTCATTTTTTATTCATCCAGCCATCCATTCATCCGATAGATATACATTAAAACATTTAACTGGAACGTCCAATCGATCCATCCATCAATCCGTCAATTACTCTTGTTACAATTCATTCATCTATCAGTCTATCAGTTCATTCATCCATCTATTCATCTATTCATTCATTCGTTCGTTCATTTATCAACTCATTCATTCATTCATTCAACCATCCATCTATCATCAGCGTATAGCATCATCTTGTATATACAAATTCCTGCTGCTGTTTATCTTATGGTCAGTTTTCTCCATGATGCAACCTTCACTATCTCTCTTTCCCTCTCTCTCCATCTCTCTCTCTCTCTTTCTCTCTCCTGAAGAATAGATAAAAAAGAGACGGATGGATGGATGAATGGATTTAGAAACATAATTTTTGCGAAGACGTCAAACTGTGCAAGTTATTCTGCCATCAGTGAAATCAGCATCATATTTCTTATCGTCATTAACACCGTCATCATCATCACCATCGTCACCATCATCATCATCTTCTTCTTCATCACCATCATCACAATCCTCGCTCGTTCACTTGTGTTCAATCAATCGCCTTCGAGGATTGCATTGAATCATGCTGCCACTTGCACTCCTGCCTTCCACCATACTACCCTCCTTCATTAAAATACTGCACATCTGTACACTCCACACACACACACACACACACACACACACACACACACACACGCACAAAACATGCAAACATACACACAAACACACATACATTCATACATATTTGTTTGTGTATTTAATGTTTGTTTACTTGTATAACATGTTATATCAATTATACCAACAAAACTATCAACAACAACAACAACAACAACAGCGCTTGCAGCAATTAAACTCGTGAGATCAAATGAATGTTTTATAATGTAATATTTAATGTTAATGTCTGCTTGTATCTCTACATGCTTCCAGCATAACTTAACGTAATTTACAGGCTGGTTAATTGCCACCAGCCAATCAATAAATATCACACAGACCAGCATGATTTTAATCTTAATCGTCATCTCGCATATCCCGTAATTAAAGTGAAATAATTACGAAACTAATTGCTGTACGAAAGAGAATAATTGCACTGGCACACGGTACCGTACGTCCTACTTGCTGCTGGCTGGCTGAACATTCGGAGCTATGATATATGTTCAATGCATGTCTCCTTATAATAATAATTATAATAATAATTATATAATTATGATACTCCCCTCGTCATAATATGGCGCTTATTAAGTTAATAAAATTCACGACGTGCGTGAGGGCCTACATTTCATCGGATTCATAATCTTTTTTATTACGTTAATTAAACTGCGATGAAAGTCTTATCTTCTCATCATCTTCGTAACACAACCAACAACATCATCTTCTTCATCTTCATCATCGTCGTCGTCATCGTCCAGACCACACCACTTTGAGAACACGACAATTTGACAACAAGCAGACGTTGAATGCAATTCTATTAATATGGTTATTTCCATCCGTTCGTCTATCCATTCATCCGATTATTCATTCATTCGCTCATTCATTCATTCCTTTATTCCTCCATTCGTTCATTCATTCTTTTTTCAGACCCTCATTCAACTAACCAGCCGGCCAATGGTTGCGCTTGCAATTGTGTCAAGTAATTGTTTGACCTCCACATTTTCTTCCTTTCCTCTCATGCGCACACAAATTTGCATCATCACCATCGTCATTTTGTGATGATCGTTCATCATCGTCACCTGTATCATCTGCATCTGCTTCATCACAACATGATAACTTTAACAAATGTTCAACAAGCGACATCTATTGTGATATCTTACTTAATTCATGGGCGATACGTCAGCAGCAGCAGCAGACAGACAGACAGACAGACAATTACACAAACAGGCAGACAGACGGACAGACAGACGGACAGGCAGACAGACAAACAGACAGACAGACAAACAGACAGGCAGACAGACAGACAGTACTAACAATGCTTTCTTGTTACATTTTTCCAACGAACCTGAACGGTAAACACGCAATCCTCCTTAAAAGCAGGCCTGCATAAACACAGACATGCAGACGAACGCAGAAATACTTAAACAAACAAACTCAGAAAAATAACTGCAAATATTAGGAAGAAAAGAAAGAACGAGATAAAAAAAGATAATTAGAGAGAGAGAGATAGATAGATAGAGAGAGAGAGAAAGAGAGAGAGAGAAAGAGAGAGAGAGAGAATAACGGAGAGAAACATGGAAAGGACAGATTTTAGACAATGTACATTTGCCTAAGTGCTATTAAAATAATTAAGGACTTGTCGCTATCGTTGCAATAATATCGTCGATGATGATGATGATGATGACGACGACGACGACTATGATGATGGCGAAAAAAATGTCAAAAGAAATAATTTTAACGAAAGATGATGATGATGTC